ATAATTTGGTAAATACATACTTATAAAATAATTTATAGATTTATCGCCGCACATTTAAAGGGCACTCACGGCACACCGGTTGGGAACTACTGATAGATAAAGCTTCTTTACTGAACGACTGAATACATCTGAATTCGGTGGTTATCCGGAGCTCTTTTATATATATTGCTGAAAATTCAGTTAAATTATTTCTTACTTCATTTCTGAGTCTTAGGAATAAGGCTATTAACATAAATTTGACAAATTAACTAGCATTATTATATTATAAACTATGTTATAGGTGGTAAAATACTGATATCATGGCAAGCTATAATGACGATGAATATGAAATAGCAAGAGTAAGTTACTATTTTTGTATAAAGAGTCACTAATAACAATAAGCAATATAAAATTATAATAACAAACTTTTGATGAGTAATAAAAAATATAATTTATGGTGTTTTTAATTAATATTTGGATAAGTATAAATTTAATTTGTAAATAAGTTTAAGATTAATATTCTTATTTTATTCAAATTAAGCAAATCATTCTTTTAGATAATACAAGTCATTATCAACAAATTTTTCATAAATTATAATAATTTATTTTAAAAATTTTTGTTTATTATTTTTGATGAACTTATGTTTATATAATTCATATTAAATTGTTAAGTACTTCAATTATCAATCAAAATTATTAGGACCGAATATCATGCTATGTTTATGAATTTATTTTCTGTTAAGATAAAAATTATCACAGTAAGAACTTGTCAATAGTGAATATTATTAAAATAACAATAAAATAATATTATATATTAGTATTTTTTTTTTTATTGATTTTTAATTTCTTAGGAAGTTGCTATTAAATAGATATAATTTATCTATAAATTAGTTTAAAAAACTCAAACTAAAGAACACCTTTTATATATTCTATGTTAAATATTTTTTATATATTTTTTTTTAGTTATTGCTATCTCTTGGTGATTCTAATATGACTGGTTTAGATAATTCAGAGAAAGACAAAGAAGATGACAGTCAAAGCAAAGAAAACAATCAACAAGATGAACAGGTAAAAACATCAAGTATTTTATATACTTATTATCTTTACAGGTATTTATTTATTTTTTTTTTTAGGTAATGTCATCCATTGGTGGGCTTTTGGATTTAGGTGAATTACAGATTTCAGAAGAAAATAAAGAAAAAGAAAATTACCTACCAGATGAGCAGAAAGAATTATTAAAAGAGTTTAACGTAGAAGTGCACGATGGTTTAGAATCTAAAGAATATAAGGATCAAAAAATGTCTAAAAAGAAAAAAAAATCAAGCGTTGAAGTACCAATTGATTCGGACTGTATAAATACGAAAAAAAGAAAAAGAAAAAAACGAAAAGCAAAAAAAAAAAAAGGAAAAAAACGAAAAGGAAAAAAACAATCTGAACCATCTGTCAGGGAAATGGAAATACAATTATATCTTGATTTGATGCAAGAAAATGAATGTTTTGGCATTGAACAGAATTCAAAAGGAGAAGGAAGCGATGACACTTTCCATTTAAAATTAATTAATTTCGTAAATCAACAGCTTGAAGAATTAGAAAATGAATTAAAAATGAATGATTCAAAAAAAAACGAAGAATTAAAATATAAATTTAATAAAATTCGAACATTAGCAATATCTATGAAATTCGCAGAAAATTTAAATTCAAATTTTTATGAAATTTCTGAAGTAATGTATGAAAGATTAAGTAAATGTGATCAATATTTTCAAGGATTAAATGATAAAATTACAATAACGAATATAGGAATTGGAGAAAGTAAATTTGACGAAGATAATTCAAACCAAGATGATTCAGAAGTATATAAAGATACAGAAGAAACATCTCAGCAAATTATGAATGAAGTGACACATGAAGCACAATTTGATGATAAAATGGAAAAAAATTTCACTAATGATTCTTTTGAAGAGATTGGAAAAGACAATCAATTAGAATTTGATTTTAAAGCGGATATTGACCATGGCTTAATGGAAATAGATTTTGTAGGCATTAAAGAAAATGAAAACAAATTAGGAGAATGTTCTGATGAGCATATTGAAAGATTATGTAGCGTAATATATGATAATTGTAACTTGGATATTAAAGAAGATCCTAATAATATGGAAGAAAATTTGAAAGTAGATTTTGATGAATATGAAAATGAAATTAAAGAATATAATCCAAACTATAAACAAAATTCAAACAATGATAATAATGATATTGAAGATATCGAAGTAAATCTAAAAGATTTAAAACAAACGTTAGATAGTCAGTTAGATATGGTAAATGAGGAGGTTAACTTGCTGCAACAACAATTAAGTATTCGTAAATTGGAAATTAATCTATTAAAAAAAAAACAAGAGTATTCAAATTATCATACAATGGATACAGGCTTGTACAAAGGTTTAAATGATAACCCATTAGAAAATAATAAAAATGAATGCCAAAGATCATCATCAATATTAATGGTTAGTTTTTTTATTACTTTAGCAATATATTTTAAATAAATTCATTTTCATACATTTTTGTTTTAAGGATACTGTAAACGATAAATTACTACTTTTAATGAGATTTGAAATTCAATTGAGAGACTTAAAAATATTTGTGCTATCTGCTCTGGTTAATCCAGAAACTCATGAATATTCAATATTAGTGATTTCTAATTTAAATATGGAATCTGTTGGTAAGATAAGGTAAGCAATTTATCATAATTCATGTTTATCTTTTTAGATTATAGTAGATAATTTAGATAGTAGTTATTTTTAATTTTATTTATTTTTACAGATTTAAAATAAACCATGAGAATCATGAAATCATAACTTATTTTGAAAAGTTTTTTAAACTTGTTGAACAAAACTTAAGATTCAAAGTAAAATTGCAGCAAACATATAATAATGAACAAAAAGAAGTATTGTGCTTTGTAACAAATACTCCAAAACTATTGAATAGTAATACTTATGAACCCAATGATATATATCAAGTAAATATTGGTCCCAACTTTTTATTTAGTTATCAATTTTCCATTATGAAACTTAAAAATCTACATTTTTATTACAAATATTGTTTTTAATAAACTTTGTTTTTTTTTTAGTTGTTAATGTTATTATCAATGGATGCACATAACTTCTGTATACAATCAAACAAATTGGAAAATTTAACTTTTAATGATAGAGAAAGAAAAGATAATGAATTAAATATTGACTCATAATATACAACTCTGCATATGTTCCTTATTATACATAAGTCAAATGAAACAAAAATAATTTCAAAATTAATTCTATATTTTTAAGTCAAATGTGAGTCATTTTTCATGTTTTCAGTCAATGCTAAAATATCGCTGCTTATTAAATTTAAATAAATTTATAACTGTTTTTTAAAAAAGCATTACTAAATTGGGATACATGTTATGTTTATAAAATAAACATCATTTATTGTATATTTTTTATATAAGTATATAGTTATTTGGCTTTATTCATTCAATTACAGTTAGAATTTTACTAATTATTTTGGTTTCAGCAGGTGGAATACAAATATATTGAAAGTACTCAGCTCTGTACTAAAGCAAAGTTATTAAATGATCCAAATAAATGTTTAGGTAAATATTTAAAAAAAATAATATGTTCATACAATACTTCTTCAACATCATTCTTTTTTTCGCTTAAATAAGTATAAAAATGTTGACAACTATTTTCCTAGTCTACAATCAATTGGTTGTTTTGATAGCAGTTTATTTTATTATTGTATACTTGAAAAGTTTTTACTGTGCTAGTAACTTTTGGTATCAAATTTCCACTAAATTGAATCCAATTTAAATATGTA